TGAAGATATTTGTTTTAGCTCATAAAAATTCATACAAATTACCCGGCCAGAATATAATTTACATTGCTGGAATTCTTACAATTTGATGATCATTTTGAACATAAACATCATAGATTTTGCATTAGACATACAAATTTTAGATATAATGTTTACTCTGAGTAAATATGTTATCTTTTGTGCAAAATATATGACATTTATATTTAAAATATTCCTGGTCTTACAAGGAATCCAGCAATGTCAATTATATCTAACTTAATCTGAGGTATTATTTAATACTAAATGTTAAAATCTGTTTTTCACCCAACATTTCTCTTGTAAGGGAGGGTTGGTGGGGGTGGGGAGGGTTGGGGCAGGACCGACCATCTGGCTGTGATTGGAAGAGGGGGAGCAAGGTGGGGTACTTTGACTGACAGATAGTGTAGTGAAGAATATTTTTTTATTAACTGAAGATATTTGTTTTAGCTCATAAAATTCATACAAATTACCCGCCAGAATATAATTGACATTGCTGGAATTCTTACAATTTGATGATCATTTTGAATATAAACATCATAGATTTTGCATTAGACATACAAATTTTAGATATAATGTTTACTCTGAGTAAATATGTTATCTTTTGTGCAAAATATATGACATTTATATTCAAAATATTCCTGGTCTTACAAGGAATCCAGCAATGCCAATTATATTATCCTAACTTTAGTTTGAGGTATTATTTATTAAAATCTAGTGGTTTTCCCCCAAAATTTCTCAGAGAGGAAGAGCCAGCAGTGTAGGTGTGAGAAGAGGGGAGGGAGTTGAGTCCATTATTTGAATGGACATTAACTTAGGCGACTGTATTTCTATTTCTCTTAAGATTAATTGTGTGCATGTACCATCATAAAATTAAGATGTTATTTTTACTAGAACATAGGTATTGTGTTGGAAAAAGTAGAGTTTGGGGGTCGGGCCAGTCTCTATTGGAATTAATCCCATATGTTCCGTTGTTCCATTTACGCGGATTTCACTTAACGCGGTACCCTGTGGGTTCAATTGACTGCGTAAATCGGGGTACTACTGTATTGTAATGATAATCACTCAGAGAGTGTTTCTGGGTGGGTTGGCTTGCGGCGTCAATTTATGAAATTGTTTACGCCGACGGCATCAAATTTCTCGGCCGTCAAGACGCTGGCGGCGCCACTTTTTTTCGTTGAAACGTACAACGCTGTTCATAAGTAAGTGGTACCTTAGATACATTCAGAGGATCAAGATGACAAAAAGTCTTCTTTGAGTCCTTGATATACCGCAGAATGTTGTTCACCCCTACAGGACAAAACAATGAAAGAGTAATCTTTATGGCATAACTTGGTTGAAATTCATCTGAAAATTTCTCAATTAAGGAAACACCACCAAGGTCATTTCTTATAGTATGTACAGTCTCGTTCAAGATTCTTTGAACACTGCTGGAGACAGCTGGCAACTCAAGGCCATTTGTTTACTATACTCATGAGTAAAAATTATGAATGAATGTAAAAGTGATCGGCGATTGGTTACTTAGTTCCCTGTTGCTTAATTAATGGTTGGGCTTTGTTGTTTCGGATTATATTATACCTTTCTGCTGGTATTTACAGCTGCTCCCTGACTTACGACGGGGTTAGGGACCCAAATCCAGGTCAGAAGTCAAAAATGCAAAAAATAATACATATAAAATCTAAAATGAAATACAGTACAGTAAAAGTAATCAATAATGAAGAATGGATACAGTGTTACTGTGCACTTACCTTTAATATAGTCAGGTGAATGCACACGGGGCCCCCATAATTTTCTATTTACAGGTATACATGGAGACTACAGTATATTAATTGGATGAAGCAGAGGAGGAGACAGGGCTGGGTGGGTCATCAATGTTTTTTTTCTTCAGACAGAGTAATGTACAGGGGAAACTTGCTGGTTGAAGGTATTGGATCATCTTTAGGGAGTGAAGAGGCAGCACTGGTGGGGCGTGAGGAGACAGCAATGGGGGACTTCTTAAAATAGATATCCAATTTAGACACCACAGTTTGCTTTTTCTTTTCATTATAAATCTCCCTGTAGCAAGCAAGTGCATCTTGGACCAATCTGTCAACTTTGGCAAAACGCTCAACATTTTTATTCATTCTATGAAACATTTGCATCCCCTTAGAATTTGTTATTTGCATTATTTTTCATAAAAAGTGCTCGGCGACACACACATAGTCGGTCGCCTGGCTGTCTTTGTGTTTTGGGAGAGCAAGTAATGCATATAAATAATTATCAGAATAATATTCCACAAATAAATACATTTATAACATAATCATAGCATTATTTTCCATTAATACTACACTACAATACAACTACACTACTTTTAGCAATATTCCTTTGATACAACATGATAAGATGGACAAACAATGAAAATGAAACAAACAAAAGTAGGTAATTATGTTCTGGAAGCTTCCCTGTGGCCAAGCATGTGGCGTGACACGCAAACAGTCACGCTGGAACCTGATAACCCACGCTGGGCATTCAAACATTGCTGCGAAAAGGTGCGCGTTCTGGAACGTCAACCGGGGCCCCCAGATGAATGTTCCGGAACATCAACCAGGGCGAAGGGGTTAAAGGAGCTTGGTAGCTACTTGGCATGCCCAGAGGATGGAATGAAGCTGTTGAGGTCTTTCCCGACATTATGTGACTGGGCATATTATTTATTATTTAATTAATTTATTGCACCCTAGGGAAGTGACAAGACTAGTCACATGACCATGCGGTCAGACACTAATACATACATTGGTACTGCTTCGCTGGACACGCTATGACTTGTGATATAGAGACAATATTGATATGATTTAAGGACAATAGGAAGTTTGCACCCACCAAAGCATGGGTAGCGTACAGGAATTAAATATAAATTATTACAAATAAGTAGGTGGTGACATATCAGGGGCGGATCCAGAAATATGAAAAGGGGAGTGGGGTCCAAGAAGTTGTGGGTGAGGGAACATGGCGAGCACAACAACACAGTTCGGATAAACCTCAATGGTTACAATACTGCCACTTGTGTGATTTTTTATTAGGTACAGCATACAGAAAATATGGTCTGGTATTCGTTTTCAACTTTTGTGACCCACGTACCCACTCCAGACAATGTTGGTATATAATGGACCAAGTCCTCTATTATTCCAGATCCGGATACACAGCACAGTATCTCCTTTACTTCCGAACTTTCATACATACGAACAAACCTATCCATATGTCCAAAATTCCATTCAGTGGGAAAGTGCAAGAGTCATTAATTTACTGACACGCAGATGGCGCTACCCCCAACATTCCTGGCCAAACGGCAGCAATTTTAGTTGTTGTTTCGTTCACAACATTATGGCAGTGATAATAGTTCATTTCTTTTTGCTTTTATGAACATAATTGACCCCAATATGTCCGAGAAGCTCATAGGTTTTGCAAGTGATGGCAGTACGAGTAAGAAAAGATGCACAATTACAATGAAAACGAAAGTGGCAATAATAAAGCAAGTGGAAAGACGTGATAAGACGACAAATGTGGCTTGTGTTGCGACTGAATCATTCGACTGTTGGTACTATTTTAAAGGACAAAGAAAGAATTATGGAACATGTGAGAAATTCTGTGCCTGTGCAATTAACCATCATAAGTAAGATAAGAAGAAAAGTGCATAATGAGATGGAAAAACTCTTTTGTTTGTGGCTGGAGGACCAAAATCAATTTCGTATTATGGATTATTGTGCTCTGGGTGTGCTGTACAGTTGGGGACAAAAGTTCACTCCCTCTGTGAAACTGAGTCACTGCAATGAGTCTCCGAGCTGACTTACCCTAACTGTTGTATCTCGTTTGGAGTCAATGCTGCTTCATTTTGGGCTGGAGCAAACTTTTGATCACGACTGTACATAAGGTATTTTTCATATTTAACACATTGTTTGCAAGCTTATATATGTGAATTTGGACTTACTTAACAGATCTCTAGAACCATATATGTTCATAAATTGGGGACTGCCTGTAATGGACATTCGGCTTTAATGGACTGAAGTTTAAGAAAACATGAGCACGTTGGGTCCCCAAAATGTTGAGCAAAGAACACAAAGCCGTTAGACTGCAAATTTCAATTGAACTGAAAGAACGATTCTATGTGAAGGTGAGGCATTCCTACAGCGGATCATAGCTTGTGTTGAAACCGGGGTGCACCACTTTGAACCAAAGTCAAAACGTCAAAGCATGGTGTGGAAACATTCTTCATCTCTTCAAGCCAAAATACTAAAAATGCTCCCTTCAGTGAATAAAGTGATGCTTTCTGGGATATGAATGGACAGTATACTGCCACTATTTTGAAGAGTGGTGTACCATCAACACTGCATCATATTCAGAAATTATAAAAAATGAGATCAAGCCAGCCATAATTCAGAGGCACCCAGCTTGCAAAGAAAAGGCATGATTCTTCTACAAGACAATGCATGATTCCATAGTGCATAGCATACACAGGAAATGATTAGAAAACTAGGGTGGGAGATTTGTCACACCCTGCATACAGTCCAGATCTCACACCATCAAACTACCGCATGTTTGGTCCGCTTAAAACAGCTTTACGTGGATAGCATTATTCGAATAATGAAGAGGTGAAGAAAGAAATCCAAAATTGGTTACGAAGTTAGTCAAAGAATTTTTCGCCACAGGAATAAGAAAACTTATAGAAACATGGAACAAATGCATAGCTGTAGAGGGAGATTATGTGGAAATGTATATTTCCACATAATCTCCCTCTACAGACTATATGATCATTAATAATAAATCATTACTTCTATAATTACACTGTACAGTATTCATTTGTCTCATTACTTAATGAATGACCCTTGTATTTAGGTTTTCAAGCATTCTGATCAATATGGCTTTATTTTCTTGGTTTTAGAATTTGATGCTTTATGACATATGGAGGCATATTGTAGCTAGTGTTTTAGAAGTCAACTTAATTATTTTTTTCTTAGATGAGTGATGGACAGTCATATGAGTATCGACCACCAACACAACCACCAATCAACCCAGCATACACCACTGCAGTTTCCATGAAGCATCAACACCAGCAGTCTTTAAACAAATCTGCCACCTTAACCTCAAAAAGTGAAAGTAACTTGAGAAGAGGAATGGAAGATGACCAAAGCAAAAGTGAAAATTTAGATCCAGCAAGTATATCAGACAATCAATTTGAGACCATAGATACTTATGCCATACTGGAAGACTTGCATATTAGTGATGCTCAGAGTTCACATTCTTAAAGTTAATGACTAAGTTTTAGAATTTAAAGAGTATCTTGAGAGGAAAATTTTTATTTTTTCTAAATGATGCCCTATACTGTACTTTCAAGTGAGTTATTTCCAGGCAAAAAAAAATAGTTAATGAAGTATTTTGGGCCTCTGGTATGTCATTTTCAAAGATAATTTTACATCTGGGTGATAGTTATAGAAATAAAAGTAATCCAAGGCAGCTAACAACTGCATGTGGCATAATCGGTTTAGCTGAGGTTCTCTCAGATTCACCAGATTTAGTCAGATTTCATAGGTGGCAGAAGAGTTATTATGGCATTGTTGAGTGCTGATTGATACAACCAGTGGCTCAGTGAGGCCTGCTTTCAGAGAACTGCTGCTGTACTAAGATTCCCTTATCTAAAGCAAACTGGACGGGAGGAGGGGGTATAGTATGTCTAGCGAATTAACATATCAACCATGGAATGATCGAAGGAGGCTTAATCCAATTAAAATAATTGTCTTTATAAAGTGTCCCTGTACACTATTACAAGAACCAGAAAATATAAGTTTGTGTACTACAAAATCCACCTAGTAGCTAATGATCAGTTTTTAAAGAGGGAGCAGATATATGATTAATATGGAAAATATTTTTAGGCAAATAGTACAGGGTACATTTAAAATGTAATAATATTTGTTTATCAGGAATTTGTCATATAAAGTTGATGAATTATTTTTTCCTGTCTCTAAATTGAAACAGAGTAATGCTGCTTAAGATAAAACCGAGGCAGTTCAGGGATATTTTAAAAGATTTAATGTTAATTTTGTAGTGAAAAAAATTAGTTTTCCTTTTTATGAAAAGTAATAGTATTGACTGAAAAAGGGGAGTCTGGAGGTGACTTTTAAATACAGTATGTTTAATTTAAGGGGAGTTGTAAATGGGGTGAAAATCATCGAGAAAATAAAAACTTTAGATTAGGCTTCACTTACAAGGAGTAGGATGCTGCTGTATTTTGGCAAAGTTACATTGCTATATTGTTCATATTTGATATAAACATAATTGCCCTCTCTCTATTTTGCCGATGTGACGTCACCAATCTCAAAAGAAAAGTCACCAATCTCCCAGTAACAAAAATAACTGATCAAGTAATAAAATTACTGTAATACAAATACACAACCACTGCTAAAATATAACTCGTGTACAAATAATAAAACTACTGTACATAATTTTTAGGCTATGGAAGGTGACGGGACATAGCTTAAGCCTGTAAATAAGTTTGTCTGGTAAGAGACCCAGCCAAACTGTGGGTAATTAGTGGCCAGTAGTGGGTAGTATGGATACCAATCACCAAGAATCCTTGATGGGTACATCATGTGTGGCGATTGAGTCTGAGGTCTTTATAAAATTTGATATATTCAGTGTCAAAGTGCTCAAATGCTATATTAGTGCTCACTTTTATTTATTTTCTCCTCTTCGTCACTGATCAGCTCGTTATTAGCTGCTTGGGCGGTCGGTCGATCACTTTTCTTATGCACAGATCTTGGCAAGTACTGGGCATGCACTGGCTCCTGAATGTATCACCGCTGTTGGTGAAGTCTGGTGACTGGTCTTGTAAGAGTCTTGGCGCCTCCACAACACTCTGGCAGGAAAACCTTTTTCGGAGTGGGAGTTGTTCAGTTTTCCCACTTATGTTCTTATTATAGTAAATATTTGGTAATTATATAGGACCAACCCGCGGACGAAATTGATTGAAAACAATTATAAAGATGCCGGATTTTCATTGTTATATTATAGTGGACACTATTGTAGTTTGTGGAAATATGTTAAAAATTTGATATTTTTAAAATAAACGCTACTTAACATTTAATGAATGAAGGAGGATATTTAAACTGTGTAACTATTGGACACCCAGATATATCCAGGTGTTCCAAGTCCAGATAACTAGAAATCAGCTGTTTCAATGCCTTTTCACCAAAGCGTGGCATTTCTATGCCCTGAAACATTTCAGGTTTGTACACTTGGCTGATTGACATCAAGACACTAATGCAGGACACAACTGCCCAATTATTTTCAATACATTTTGTCTGCTACAAAAGTCCACACTCTCTAGAGTCAACATCTTTAATGTTGGCCTGGAAAGACTAAGCAATTTGCCAAGGATGGGATCTGTTATTGGTCGAGCCAACCCTATTTTTTCTGGTACTATTACCAATTTGTAAATTTTTCTAAACATTTTGTGAACCAATTTCTGACATCGGCGACACACTCCTTCACTTTGCACTAATTCTGGTATTGGTAAGTATTCCATAATCTTCAACATATCATCATTCAGCATGTGAATGGATGACTTATCTGGGTCAGGAAGGCTTAAATCAAATTCACGGCCAGGTAGGGGGCGTCGCACAAAATAATCGTCCCCAGGCATGAGGACTCTCTTCTTTGCACGTTTGATAACCATTTCCTGCCCTTGGAGGTAACAGTCTCCATTTTTTTAACTCTTAACAACTTTTACTATTATCCTCTTCACCACTGATCGGCTCGTTAGCCACTTGGGCGATCGGTCACGTCTCTGTTACTCACTGTTGGCAAGTACTGGGCATGCACTGCCCTGAATTTACCTGAACCTGCTTCAGTGTTGGTCAAGTCTGCTCTTGAAAAAGCTCACACTCGGTGCTGTCACAACACTTTCTGGTAGATTGTTCCAAGAGTTCACAACTCTCACTCCGAAAGAGTTTGCCCTCACAGTTTTCTGTACCTGCGGCTTCTTCAATCTTGAGCTGTGACCCTTGTGGGGCGAGAAGGCCCGCCAGCTCCAAGTAAGGACACTCGACTGAGTAGTGCCCCTTGAGATGCTTATACACCTCAATTAGGTAGCCCTTTGCCCGTCTGTAGTATAAGCCAGGCAAGTTCAGGCTCTCCAACTTCTCAGGGTAGTTGAGGTGCTGAAGTGCAGGCACCAGTCTGGTGGTCCTCCTTTGAACATTTTCAACCAACTGACAGTCCCTAGCATATCTCGGGGACCAGACGGGGTGACAGTACTCCAGATGGGGAAGCACTTCACTCTTGAAGATCTATCTCATTATTTTTAATTGTTGTTGGAATAGTGTTATTACTAATTTGTTTTGTGCTTAAAGACCATAGTTGTTGAGGCTCAGAAATAACACTGCAACATCAACATTATACAAGGTGCCTATAAACTATTATTATATCACCCCTTACCCTACTACAGTGGTCCCTCGGTTAAGGAAATTTCTGTAAACGAATTCATCTTCGTAATAATCTTCAATTCGGTTAATCTAACAAAATGCGCTTAACGAAATCTCATTTAAAATCACGTTTTGTTGTGAGCATCAGCTGGTCACTGGCCCAGTCTGCCAATTCAGTAATCTGTTCTAAGTTTAAATTCGTTTCCCATGGAGTTAATACACCTGTATCAATAAATTTCAGCTTTTTAATAATTTTAAATGTTTTATATTAAAATTATTAGTCATTTTAACATTAAATATTGATAATACTGTATATGCATACTGTAGAGGGAACTAACATTCCAGTTTGTTGTTGTGAGAATCAGTTGAGAGGGTACAGTACTCAGCCAATTCAGTAATCTGCTCTATGTTTAAATTCTTTTCCAATGGAGTAAATACCCTGCATAAAAAAATTTGAGCTTTTAATATTTTGAATGTTTTATATTAAAATTATTAGTCATTTTAACATTTATTTAACATATTGATAATATTATATGCAGTACTTCCTGTCAGGGCTGTCGGAATTTCCGACTCTTGTTTATCGAACACGCTGATTGGTTCAAATCCGGTACTTTGTCTGATAAAATCGGTAAATTGATGATTTAGTCGGTAAGCCGTGACGTCACTGTCTCGACAGTCGGTAAATTACTGACTTTAGGAAATATGCTTTTTCATAAAAACCATATAGAATACACAGAAATAAATTTTAGATGTATTTAATTACCTTACCTACATTTTACTAGCGATATTTTAGCAGAATTGTATTCTGCTGAGTCAAACCTGCTACGTTTCGAGAGGTCATGTATATATTTCTTGTGCTTAGTTATGCTTCTAAATGTTTATATATTTGTATTTTTTTATATTGTCAAAATAAAATCATTTGAATGTTTTGGTTATTTTTTTATTCAGTATTATTGAAAAGTAATACAAATTACAATTGATAAAACACAAATCTAATGTGATCTCATATAACATTCTGAATGGTGTATAATGCAGTGTTTATTATTCAGAAATTTATAAAACTAATGACAGGAACAATGAAATTCACTGAGTATGAGGGCTACTCTAATATAATTACTGTATCTGGGATCTTCGTTACCCCTCACCACACATTATATTATAGAAAATAGTAATATTATGTCATGTTCTTGCAACGCGAGCAGTTGAACCAATCAGCGTGTTCAGTAAACAAGATTCGGAAATTCCGACAGCCCTGCTTCCTGTACAGGTTCAGTCTGGCTTTGTTTACTGTCAAGAGCAGCCATTTTGTTGGTGACTTGAATATTTTTGCATTTTTCATTGAAATTATTGGTCATTCTGAACTTTAGTTAACATATTGATAATATATACCATAGTGCAGTGTTGATTTAAAGAAAATATTCTTGAATTACACCTAGTGAACTTAAAATTTTATTGGTGAAATGACAGCATCAAGCATGGGTCCACTGAAGGTGATTTTTCCTCCATACCACTTCCTTCTTTTCTCCCTTCTCCATCCCCACTTCTAATTCCCATCATCATTATTAACCAGGAGCCTTCTACATACACACGTCAAAGTAAGTGTACTTTACTGCATTTTTTTTACTTTGTATGTACTTTTCGGTGAGCTGGAACCATTTACCCAATATCCCATTGAAACAATGGATTCTGTTAACAAAATTTTCGGTTAACTAACGACCTTCTGGAATGAATTGTGTTCGTTAACCGAGGGACCACTGTATACTAAATATAAATTATAAAAGTGCACCAATTGCTGGCCCATTGGACATTCTCAATTTATTGGCACTCTTTTAAAATCAACAGTTATTTTTAAAGATTTTTAGGTGTTACAGAAATAAATCTAGACTGGACATAGACCATCTCCCTTGCCATGTCTAAATAACAGTAATATATATCTCGCTTTCTGAATGCATTTGTAATGTATTCTGCTACACAGTGTAAATTATATTCTGCTAACGGTTTTCAAATGATTATAACAATAAAATTGGGTAGCTTTAGCATGTGGTTGTAGAGTAAACTTTGGGTGCCTTAAGGTACAAATTCCTTTCAGTCATAACTGTTGGTCGACAGTGACGAAATGTGTGCAGCGCGCCTCACAGCTGTTGCGGGGTGGTGACAGTAGAGTGACATAATATTTGCCATAGCCCTGTCTCTTTCTTGCCTTTCCATCCATTCACACTGCCCACTGTCGTGTTTTGTGAGTATCAGAAGATACGGTTGACTGTAAAATTAATATCGTGAACTACCCAAGGCCAGCTCGCGTGTACGTACACTAGCGGCTAGCCTCTTCTCTGCACACAAGCATCTTCACACTCAAGTGTTTTAGATGCACGGAATAGCTAACGCGTTAGTTGTTCCTGGACTGTCATTAAAAAATACAACATTGTACCACATCTTGGGAATAACTGTTGTATAACAGTCATCAAAAAACAATAAAATTAGGAGAACTGTTATTTGGACACAATAAGGAAAGAAATAGTGAAGAAAATATATAGAAAATTATGGAAAGAAAGACAAAAAAGTCAATCGGTCAACAAAAATTAAGAATAACACCAAATATTGGACTCTGAAACAACACGCAGCAACTAGAGCAGCTGTACGCTTCATCTTTCGTTGCTAGGTGTTCGCATATTTGTACACGAAATACGACGAATTTCAGGTTCGTTTGTCTTAATTTTTGCACGTACAGAACTGTAATCAACTTGTTCACCCTTATTTAAAGTGTCTTATGAGTAATGATATTTAGGTTTCAATCATATTTGAGTAATTATCAATATTGTTACACCAAAGTCACCAACGGCTAATGAAGCCGGACAGCGCCCACTTAAAAACAGGCAGAGCCAAAACAAGTTTCAACTAGGCGCAATCCTTTTAAATTATTTCACTCCATACGCTTTGTTTTAGGTCGTATCCAATATACTAACGTATATAGAATTATTTTTATTATTATACAGTAGAAGTCCAAAAATCCGGACTGCTCGGGGATTGGGTTGGTCCGGATTTTCGGATTTTCCGGA